TTATATTCATATATATATATATTCTTCTGTTCTGAAGTGCCATCGAGTCAGTGCCAACCCATAGTGACCCTGCATAAGGTTTCCGAGGAGCAGCTGGTGAGCTTGAACCACAGACCTTGCAGGAGCTCTGGCAGCTTAGTGGTTATGAATCAGGCTGAGAACCTTGAGGTCAGAAGTTCGAAACTACCAAATGTTCCGCGGGAGAAAGATGAGTCTTTCTGCTCCCATAAAGATTTATAGCCTCGGAAACCCTGTACAGGGTTGCTATGAGTTGGAACTGACTCCACGGCACATAACACAATAATATATAGGTAGCTGGTTTGTTGGCTAAGCAGGACTTACTGAGTCCACTTTGTCTGTGTGGACCCACTTGTGGGGTTTGTACTTCCCCGGCTGCTGCCCAAACCCCCGGGGCTTTTGCCCCTGTCATTCTCATGCTGCTCTCATTCTTGGAGGTAATGAACTCCCCATCAATAGAGGCATTCAAGCAAGCCTTGGCTGACTATGGGTCAAAAACATTGCAAAAGGGGAGTCTTAACATTAGAATTGGCTGGAGGTGAAACTAGATACAGCTTGAAGTCCTGATTCCATGGACCTGGGGCATACTGGGATGGAAAGGTGTCTTTCCTGAGAATCCTGCATGGGGTATTTCTTCCCATGAGTTCATCTCTGCAGAAGGGGATATCCTGAAGAGGCCCTGGGGATGCCTAGGGGGGTAGGAGTCCCGAAAGCATGTCTGAGGGTGAGCCAAATAGAACAAGTTTCTCCTTGCCCACCCTGTCTGCTGCTGAGGCAGGACAGCGTGGGCGCAGGTCTGACCTGCAGTGTGCACAGACCTGGACTCTCTGTTCCTGGTCCTGCTGGTGTTTTGACAATCACCCCACTTTTTCCCTCTTCCTGTTCTCTACCCATTTCCCGTAACACAAAACCCTGGTTTCTGGGGATAGTTTAAGAGCTGGAAGTATGTCATTGAGTGGCATATGTGTCCATGCCCGTGCCCTTGTATGCATACACATGTATGTGTCTGTAATAGCAGCTCGGCCCCAGGAACTCACCCTGGGGAGGGAGACCTTCAGGCCCTGCACAGGGCACTGGGCTGGTCCCTGACTCACGGACCATTGTGCATCTAATGAGGCTCCCAGGACACAGGACTGTCTGTCTAGATTCTAATTCACCCCTCCCCAGCACTCTGAGGGGTCTACTGCCCCTCTCCTCTGCCATGTCATTTGTGTTTGACCCTGTGCCAGGGGTTTCTCCTTCCTCACTTGATGTCTTGATGGCTGACAATGGGAGGAGTCAAGAAATGGGTGGCTAACTATTGTGGTCACTGAGGCTCAGAGAAGTGCAGTGACCCTCCCAGAGTCACACAGCTAGGGAGTACCAGAGCAGGATCTGGGCATGGGTCTCTCCACTCCTGGTCAGGGCTCTATGGACCCCAAGTGCCCCAATGGGTGCTTCCCCCTCTCTGTGAAGGCAGTGTGGGAGACTGAGGCTGGGGAGGAGATGCAAACACAGGGACTACTCCCAGCATTTCCCCTGCAGCAGAGCGGAAGGTAACGTTGTATCACTGGCTGCTGTGTGGTTGGGACCAGGGCACGTCCCTCTCTGGGCATCTGTGCAGTGAGGATCTGAACAAGGTACCTAGAGGTCTTGTTGCTCTGTCCATTAGTCCACACACGCAGGACTCTTCTCTGTGCTGTGTCCCCGGCACCTACAACAGAGCTAGGTTTGCTGTTACTGTCGTGGTCGCTGTGAAGTTGATTCTGAAGTATGGCGACCCCTCTGTGCACAGTAGAACTAGGGCTTTTAAGGCTGTGACCTTCTAGAAACATATCACCAGGCTTGTCTTCTGAGGCACCTCTGGATGAGTTCAAACCACCAGTCTTTCTTCTAGCAGTCAAGTGCTTAACCTTTTGTGCCACCACAGACACACTGTAGGATCTCAGTAGTCACTCATTCCCCTGGGCACCTACTGTGGGCCTGGAAAGCGTGTGCTGGGGCCGTGGTTCAGACGTTTTACATGTGCTGAAAGTCCAGAGGGAGGTGGGTGAGGGGGTAGCTGGTGCAGGGATGGAAGGGCGGAGCTTACCACCCCTCTTCTTTCAGCAGAAGTGGCTCTCCTCGCCCTTCCCCTCAGCCTCCTTCAGTCCCCATGGCACTGCACCCGAGATCTCTCCGCTGGAGGTGATGGACAGGGACGCCAAGACCACACAGCTGCTCCTGTGTCCACAGGACAAAGTGCCCATGCCTTCTCCCAGCAGCCATTCACACACCAGCTGCTTCACCAACCAGGGTTACTTCTTCTTCCACCTCCCCGACGCCCTGGAGATCGAGGCCTGCCAGGTGTACTTCACTTACGACCCCTGCACTGCAGAACCTGACGAGGGCAGATCCGGGGCTCCTGCGGGGTCTCCCCAGCTAGCCCTGCCACCTCAGCCCGGGGAAGATGATGCCTACTGCACCTTCCCCCCAGGGGAAGACCTGCTGCTCTTCTCCCCTGGTCTCCTTGGGGGCCCGGGTCCCCCAAACACTGCACAGGGGGGCAGTGGAACCAGGGAGGAGAGACAGCACTTCTGCCTTCAGGGAGATGTTTGTGGAGAGTCTGCCTCTAGACCTGTGGGCTCCCCTGCCCCAGGATCCCCCAGCCTAGTGTCTGTTAAGGAGTTGGCACCAGGAGAAGGTGGCGAGCAAGTCCCAGTCCCTGGTTCTGAAGAAGGGGATGGCTGCCCCTGGGACACCTTTCCTGGGCAGGGGCAGGCCAAGGCCCTCACCTCCAGCCTGACCCAGAACACTGATGTCTACCTGTCCCTCCAAGAGCTCCAAGACCAGGACCCAGCTCACTTGTCATAGGTGACCCCCCCACCCGGCCTCACACCCTCAGTCTGTCCTCTTCCAAACCACAACTGCTGCTCCCTGGTACCCCACCTCCCAAACCAGGAAGTAAGAGGGGTCCATTTTGACTGTCCACCTCCTCCTCAGTCATGGAGTCCTGTGGACTTTGACATTGAAGTATCTGTCCTCTCCAGCCCTATAGCTGCATGCTGACATTAATCATCACGGCTCTCCAGGGATCCTCATGGGCCTCCTTACTGGCTTCGTGCCCCAGTCTTGTCTCCTCGTAACCACAGGGCAGTCTGCCCAAATGCAACTCTGGCCACGCTCCTTCCTTAACTCCCAGCATGGCTGCCCACTGCCTTCAGCATCAGATCCACACTCCTCTCCTGGCTTGCCCCTCCACATCGTATTGGGACACGTCTCCTGGAACCTCAGAAGGGCCCAACTGAGAGGATTTTGCCTTGCCCTTCATCATTTATATGACAGACTTCTCCTGTTCTTCAAGGGTCAGTCTGCTTCCCCTGGAGGAAACACTGTTTTTCTTAATGTTCAGAGGCCTCCAGACACAGCCCTGGAAGGAGAAGTTCTCAGGGAGGGCCACAGGGCAATTGGACAAAGTGGTCCTGTCATTTCCCCTTGAGTTTTCTGGTTGCCTCGGCACACCTGGCGGTTGTGACTTGCTACTGAGTTCCCACTCACAGTGATCTGATATATGTGTGAAACAGAAGGAAATGTTCCTTGGCCCTGCACCGTCTTCATGATCCCCGGACTGCCTTCCATCTTAGGGGGCTTCATTTGTAGCTCTGTATCAGTGTCAGTATTCTGTGGTGATCCAGAGGGTTTGCATTGGTCTGATTTTCAGAAGTAGACCTTTCTTCTTAGACTGTCCTCATTTGGAAACTTCAGGGAATCCTGCTCACCATGAATGACCTTGCTGGTGTCTGAAATACTGGTGGCATCACTTCCAGCATCATAGTAGCATGCAAGCCATCACAGTATGACACACTGACAGACACAGAATGGGGACACTCAGCTATGACACCTCGAATGCTGTGGCCCAAATGTGAATCCAGATCTAACAACAAAGTGGTGACTGGCACGGACAGGACCTTCTCATTTGGTTCCAGACTCATGAGGAATGCTGGTGGGAAGAATTCACCAGGAGACCTGAGCTACACATGCAGTAGAAACCCCCCAGTCCCCTCTCTACAGCCACACCACAGTGCTGTGTTCTGATATTCTGGGGCCACCCACTCACTCCCCCAGAGGAGTCTCCTCAGCAGCCCAGGAACTGCACGTCTGGCCACTTCACTGGTAGCTCCGTGAGGGCAGGAGCTAATCTTTATCACACCAGACACAATGCTGACCATTTAATTGTATGTTGCTTTTGTTAGCTGTTGTCACGTAAGCTCCAGCTCATGTGCAACTAAAGGAATTGTCATATTGTCTTGCACCGTCTTTATAATTCTTGGTGTGTTTGGACCCATTGCCTTGGTTATTGTGCCAATCCATGGCATCAAGGGTTTCCCTGGCTTTTTCTGGTCCTCCAAACACAATGTCCAAACATGATGTCCTTTACCAAACACGGTATCTAGCTATTGGTCCTGATGACGCCCCAACATGCTCTTGTGCTCCATAGGGTTCTCAGTGGCTGATTTTTCAGAAGTAGATCACCAGCCCTTTCTTTCTCCCTCGTCTGTCTTCCTCTGGAAGCTCTGTTGGGACCTGGGTGGCTCTGCTGGGATTCGAAATGCTGGTGGGGTAGCTTCCAGCATCACAGCGACACTCACGACAGGACGGTATAATGTCCTCACAGATACGTGGTAGTCAGTTGTGCACTAGGATGAGACACTTGGTAACCGATTGTATGCCTGGATAAGCCATGTGGGACCATCTTGCCTGGTTTCCCTATGCCCTGGCTGTCCTTATTCAGGGATACCCCCCACCCACAAGAGCACCTCCTAGCACCTCAAACCTTCTTTTCTCAGTGATCACCCTCTTTCTCTTCTTTCCCCCTGCCCCAGCCACTAATGACACCTTGATATCTCCCACAAATTTCCTCCTTGACTGTAAGTCTCAAAGCTTAGTGCCGGTACTTGTGGACTCTGCCCACTGTCAGCTGATTAGACATAAGTCCCTCCATTGGCTGACCAACAGCCTATGAGGTGGCTTGACACAGAAGCACTATTCAGCCAAGCAGGTCAGGTCTGAGCTGGTCAGACTGTCTCACAGTGTCAAGCATTTGAGCACAGGTGGTAGCAGGTACAGGTGGGAATAGGTGCCCCAGACAAAGCTGGCCTCACACAAGCATGGCCCGGGACCTTGACACTGAACTCCTTGCTGCCTAGGGCTCTGATGACCATGAGTTTCCTTTAGGTCCCAAACACAGTTCGCTTCTTGTCTGAGTCTTGAATCCTTACCACCAGAAGAGCAAAATTAACAGACAACCTCATTCCCACCTTCCGCCAGACCCGAGCTCCACACTCGTAGCTCTGTTATGAGTCAGAGGCAAACTGTTGAACTCTTGGGCCAGTTTCCTTGTCCCCAAAATGGGAACAGTACTTGATTGCTCGACGAATTGTTGAAAGGGTTAAACTTCTCTAGCCTTGGCCACTTGTGTTGTGCCCTTTTAACAATCTGTATGTACCACCTTTGTTATTATTTGCTTAATGTTTTTCTGTAAATTCATTTTTTGTTTAAATACATTGAAAGAAAAATCTTTATGTCTGTACACCGAAAAACCAAGATGCGTTATAAATAAAAGGCAACAGTGAAAAATAAACACAATGAAATGGCTTTAAAATACATTACTTGTGATAGTAGCGTAGTGATTACGAGTCAGGCTGCTAACCTCACAGTCAGCAGTTCGAAACTACCAGCAGTTCCGCAGAAGAAAGATGAGGCTTTCTGCTCCCATAAAGATCTACAGCCTCAGAAGCCCTATGCAGGGTTGCTATGGGTCAGAACCGACTCCACCGTACACCACCACCACCACCACCACTTGTAACAGGTCTCCCAGAGACTGGGACCCTTCATCACCCTTCAGGTCTGGAATGAACTCACTCCAGAGCTCAGTTTGCAGCCAGACAATAGATCTACTGGGGGAGCCATTACACTAAGGAGATACACACATCTTAGAATAACCAACCATTGAAGATCAAAAGGGCAGTATTTTCCCAGGAACAAAGTTCAGAAGGGGTAGGAAAGAAGGAGAAATGGAAACAGGAAACACAGGGAGGAAGTGGGAGGTGTGATGTTGCATTGTGGTGATTGCAGTCAATGACATGAAACAAAAAGTGCAAGGATTTTTGAATGGAAACTGGTCTGCTTTTTAAAACCTTCACCCAATTCATAATCAAACATTTTGCTTTGTTTTGGAAATTCATTGCCTGCTGAGACCTCTGTCTAGTTTAAATGAGAAATTCACAAGCATTGTTGAAGATACAGGAGAACTAAGAGGGGCACTTTTCTCCTGAAAGAAAGCAGAAGGGTTGGAAAGGACGATCCTTCCCGTTTGTTGTTGTTGTTAGGTGCCATCGACTCGGTACCGACCCATAGTGACCTTATGCACAGCAGAACGAAACACTGCCCGATCCTGGGCCAACCTCACTGCTGTTGCCACGTTTGAGTCCATCGATGCTGCCACTTGGCCAATCCATCTCATTGGGGGTGGGGGTCTTCCTCTTTTTCTCTGACCCTCCACCTTACCAAACATGATATCCTTTTCCAGTGACTGACTGGTCCCTCCTGACAATATGTCCGAAGTATGAGAGACGAAGTTTGGCCATCTTGGCCTCCAAGGAGCACTCTGACTGCACTTCTTCCAAAACGGATCTATTGGCTCTTTTGACAGCCCATGGAACTTTCAATATTCTCCTCTAAAACCATAACTCTAAAGGAGTCAAATTTGTTTCATTCCATGTCCAAATACCATCTAGCATCGTCTTATAGTGATGCCTCATGAGTTCCAGCTTGGGAAAATATTACCATCAATGACGGAAATACAGAATTTTAAAAAAAGGTGCCTTTGACTTCGAAAAGTTGGACCAAAACAGGAATGACAAGTGCTGGCATTATAATCAATTGTGCCCATGCATTGCAGTCACTGCTAATTGACCACGGCGTTTCTTCCTGTTTCACCTGGGTACACCTTTATTTAGACTCTGCAGTGCCATGCCATAGGTGGCCCCCGATTGATTAGATCTGGTCCCTGAATCAGAGTACCTTTCCACACAAGGAGCTTTTCTTATTTCCAACTCCCATCATCCAGGCAGGAGAAACAGAGCCAGCAAATTCAGGGAGTCCAGACTTACACCAGGTGGAGACAGAGCAGAGAACTCTAAGAGATAGTCCTATGTGGATGAGAATTCAGACTCCAGGTTCTGGACAAGGAGGGAACAGCTGGCAGGGGTGGAAGAAGAGACAGGGTCTATGTAGCTCAGATTTCAGGAAGCAGAGCAGCAGCAACTGGGAACCAGGCTGCTAGGAGCCAGGCCCCAAGAGCCGTCAGGTGCCTCAGGGGAAACAGGAGGCAACCAGGCAGATCTGGGGATAAGAGAAAGGGAAGAGAGGTGGGAGAGCCTTCTGGCCTCTCAGGTTGCCTCTTTGTTGAACTGGATTTGTTCCTTTGCCTCCTCAGTCTGCAGGTATCTCTGCTTTCTTCCAATTCCCACTCCAAACAACTCCAGTGTCAACAGTTCCCAAGGAAATTACGATGAAACTCATCCAGGATTTGGACCAATCACCTACCCCTGCTCTCCTCATCACAGATAATAAATAGCATTAACTTCAGAAAAGATCAAGAAGCCCATTGTTGTTGTTAGATGCCATTGAGTCAGTTCTGAATCATAGAGACCCTGTACACAACAGAACGAAACACTGCCTCGTCCCGCATCATCCTCACAATCATTGATATGCTTGAGTCCATCGTGGCTGCCACTGTGCCAATCCGTCTCCTTGGGAGTTTCCTCTTTTTAGTTGAAGCACATTAGAAACTAATGTTTATGTTCCAAACA